TATGGAAATGTCTTCATTTTTAAGGATATTAATTACGTATAAATGTATAATATTTTTCTTAATTTTTGAATTTAAACAAATGACGACAGGTATATACTAAAAAATATTTTTTGTCTAAACTTATAAAATTATATATGCATTAGGATGGCCCTGAAAAACTTTTTTTTTTTGTAATTAGATTACTTCTATCATTATCAAATAACTGATCAGAAAAAAAATGTTTCCCATACAACTAAGGGATACCCCAATATGCATACAGATATGTATAAGTAAAAAGTAGTATATTTATGGGTTATAAATTTAAAATCCTTACTTAAATGCAATCACTTCTCGACCTTAAGATCAAAGTGTTGTATCTGTTTTTATCTGCTGGACATCTTGTAAATTCCCCATTGAAAGATAACAAGTCACTATAACAAGCTTAAGCTAAAAAAACTAAAACTAAAACTTGTATAATTTATTTTTCAATAGATTATAAATTTATTCAAACTCTTAAAAGTTCTATTTTTAAAACTCCCCATTAATATTAGTTCTAAAATATAAAAACAAAAATATATTAGAATTGTGTAGTTTTTCTTACATGTACATTATATTGTCAAAGGAAACTCATCCCCGTAATTTTCTACTGTTGCTATCCATCCTCCTTTTCTTTATATGTGTATGGCTTTATTTTACTTGAATTTGAAAAGTGTTTTTTTACAAACCCCTAAAAAAACAGTATACTTGTTTCTAAATTAGCTAAGAATCTTTGGAGTTAAATTATTTTACGGCTTCAAGCCAACAAAATAGTTAGCTATTGTCTCCCTTATTTTCATAGCAACATATAAAGAAGAAGAAAGAAGAAGAATAAAAAAGAGATATAAACAAACAGATTTAACAGATTTTGTCAAAAATGATTATTAAAATGTACACCTTTAAACCGTATAAACCCATTGAGAATTATAAAATTTTGTAGTATAAACACATTTTTATTCTACTCCATAAACCATTCATCACAACGAAAAATCATTAGAATTTTCAAAGCACGCTCTTCGTTGGCTTAATCATCTCAAAATTATGGCTTAGAGCTCACAAAATTTATGTGATTCATATTTGATTTGCAGAAAAATGCATATAAACAAATTGAGATTTATACCACATATTATAATAATTAATACGTTCACTACCAAGTACACTGGTATGCACTTGAATAGGGACAATTATTTTGCCTATTTGTCATTTGGGAAAGTGTTAATCTTTTTTCGTCTTTTTATATTGCCCTAGGAATATATAACAGAAAGCTATAATAATATCTGATAATCATCTTTTACTATTTTCAGTTTATTTCACTATTTTCAGTTTATTTAATTTTGGAATTGGAAAGTGTGTCAGTACAATTTCTATATAGTTTTGTGTCTAATTAGAATCCAGATCTGTATCTGCCAGTCACAGTCGTAGCTCACAGTCAATTGTGACCAATTTCTGCAACAAGCAAATCGGTGGTGGGCTCGTTCTTCTTTAGCAGCCCGATCAATTGCTACTTGGCCATTTTACGCAATATGTAGAACCTCTCATTTGGTAAACAGAAAAAAATCAGATGTATCTAGGTTAATATTTGTTCAAACAGAGCACTGGGCTGCAGGTCAGTCTAAAGATACAAGAACAGGTTCAGATTTGTCTAGAACCAGGAATTTTGCTATTGAGTGCTCCAGATCCTCGCATTTATTATTGTTTTTAATTGATTCATTCTAACATGACCATTTCGTGATATTGGTTTAGCATTACTCTTTTAGTGGTACATATAACAGTCATCTAAGACATCAGTTATTGGCGTTTTAAAATACGAATAGTTTAACTGAAGCGATTAAAATTGAAAAAACTCAGTCCAAATATGGATGAAGATGTTTCATATCAATTGTAGTTCAGGTTATTTTTCGATTGCTGACAAAATCGAAAACAAACAATATTGTCGCATCTAAGACAGTGAGACTCCATATGTAACTGTATACAATATAGCTATTGTATCCATAAAAATCACTAAATATTGCGATGCTTGATAGGAAAGTATGACAATTAATTAATTAATATTTTTTTTATGCTATATGTATGTGGAAAATATGTGATTTCAACAGTGTTGCTCGAGAAATTATGTGTTTTATCACAATTGGATTTTTTTCTGTACGATCATACAAATGATCCTTTTTGTATAAACAATCTTCAAACAATCTTGATGCCTTGAAAATGATGGACCTATTAGATTTTGCCTGAGGTATTGCAAAGTATGTCCCAACAATTTCGTACTGAATAAAAATAATTCAGTACTGTGAAATGTTCGGTAAAAAGCATTTGAATAGTGTTGAATTTCAGAGTCAGAGTCCAAGCAATATATTTTAATAATAATTTGATCAAAATCTCAATCACAAATATATTTTATTTACTTATAGTTTTGGAGTCAGCAAATGTACAATTTTAAGTAGAAAATCTCTTCTTTTTGTTTGGGAATGCACAAAGTTCATGTATTTGTCATTTTCTTCTATATTCTAAGGAATTTCACTGCCTCTACCTTATCAGTAGAAACACAAACCTCTTGATAAGCAAAAAAATTATTCATCATTCCCATGATTCATAATCCTTATAATGATTACGTACTATAAGAATTCGTTCTTCTATAGCATTTCGACCCCTTAAATCAGCTTAGAGTTTTCTTTCTCAGTGCATAATGCTTACACCCTTTGATACCTCACTATTAAAATCGAATAGATTTCGCGTGATGTTTCGAGTTTTTGTAGAAAGTCATTGTATAATTAATTTGTTAATAAAACAAAGTCAGTTATATTTCTATGAATGCGATTGCATCCATTGACAAAATTTGGCTCAAGTTGGAACAACTTGAAGTGTAAATAATGTAAAGGGAATAAATTTAAGGACAAAATAATTACAGAATAATTATTTCGTTAAATAAGGTACACCACCCTAGCGTTCATAGATAAAGAAACTAGTACATGAATTAAAACATTACAAAAATTCGATTATTGTACAATATTTGAATAATTAACTTTTAAATTAAAAATATCTATTAATAGTTTATTCATTATTTGAACTATTTCAACTATTATTGTTAAAGCAAATTATGAAAATAAATAAAAATTTTTAAATGTTAATTCTTGAAATTAATTATATTAATTAATTAATTGTATTAATTAATTAATTATATTGATTAATTAATTATATCAATTAATTAATAATATTAATTAATTATATTAATTAATAATTATAATTATTAATTATAATTATTATTAATTATTAATGATTTAAATTAATTAAAAAATAATTTATTAAAAAAATTTTTTTTATATATTGTACAATAAGGTAAAGAAATATGCAATATTTTTTTAGCGATTCTCAACCCAAGTTATATAATTAATTAAAATTGAAACTCAAATTGAAGATGTTGTTTTATAATATTTGGTATTTATATTTGTATCATAAATTCTTAAATAAATAATTTTAAATATTTCAAATGAAACTACAAAACCAAATTTAGTTCACCAACTGAACACAAATGAGTACTGTTTCAATGCTCGATCTACAATTTTGCAAAAATGTTCAATTTTCAATTTGAAATTATTCAGTACAAGCAAACATTAATTTAAAACAAAAATAATTAAAAAATCCAAAATAAATTAAATAATATATATAATATTGAACAATAATACTATTAAATATAAGTAAATCTCCACTGAATCCGCTCTGCAAGTATTTTTATTTATGCTTGATCTGATTTTTTCGACTTGTGTGTCGTGTGCACAAAAAAAAATCATCTTTATTCTTAAAGATATATATATTTGTATGTATATATTAATATATACAAATATAAAAGCATATAGATTTATACAAAAATATGTGTATTTTCACATTTTTCTATGAGATTTTCACTATTGCAGAGAAAACAAAAATTTTTTGTTTGGTTTTTGAAATTTGTTGAGTTGTCGTTTTTCACGTACATTTGTTCAATAATTTTAATTTTATTACTTATAAAAAGAAAATTTATTTTGTTTAATTAGATATTTTTTTTAAAATTAGTATTTTTATTCTATTATTTTTTTTTTTGGTTTTTTTTTTGTTACACGCAATATGAGTCTGACCAAGGTGTGCGATATTTGTTGTCACTTCCAACGCCCACCTTGCGTTTAACTAATTTGTTACTTGTGATTTGCAATTTGTTGCAAAAATCATATTAAAGTTTATTTAATCACATTAGTTCAAAAAATGTTTGAAATCGATTTGATATAAATTTGAATGAATATTTATTTTTATTACAGTTGAGGCGTAACTACAAATGATCTTTCTGATCATTTTAAATTGTGTTCTAATAAAATTTTTTATAAACAGTAGCGGCGGCATGTTTACAAAATAATTTGGCTATATCTATGATAATGTATGCACATATATATTTTAACATATGGAGCTGAGACAAATCCTTCACTGTATATCTATACGTCTAATGATATAATTTTCCTCTCTCATTTTCGCATATAATATTTGTTCTCTGAAAATTGGCATATATTGAGATGCCAGCCAGCTCTTTTAGTTTATATGCGCACGCCAGAAGTCGGCTAAACGTAAACACTTATGATGTATATCTGTATCTACACTTGTGTATATCATTATATATATATTACACTCTTACGTATCTGACAGCGATCATTTTCATTCAAGAAACCACAATAAAAATTAACAACACAAATTTAAATTAAATATTTTTTAAGCTCTTTACATTCTCTTTATTTTTCCATAGAGGCAGGCGGCATGTATGTTTCTTTAAAAATGAATTTAAAGAAACATTTAAACAAAAATCTGTTTTTATAAAATGAGCAAAATCTCTAGAAAAATGCACTTTGCTGAGTAAAAACAGCAAAAAATCTCAAGTTTTTTGGATTTTTTTACTTTTACAAATATTTTTTTTCGCTGTAGATATTTTTTATTAGACACATTTTAGAACCAAAATAACTGAAATGGTCGCAGTTGAGATTTTGACTCGGTGAAGTTTAAATCGTTATTTATATTTATTTTTAATTTATATATATACATATATATATTATATTCGAAAAAAATATTTGCCCGAATTTCGGCGCAAACATTGAGAAAGTTCAGTCGGTCAATCGAAAACGTGAATATTATTACCTACCTACTCGCCTCTTTTTTAGTTTTTGCTTAGTATCTTTCAATTATTAAGGATATATTTATTTAAAATTTATTAATAGTAAAATAAAATAAAAATTTTCAAAAATGGCTGATGTCGAAATTATGCAATCGGTTACGGAAGTTAAGAAAACCAAAAAAGTGAAAAAAACATCGAAACGTCGCGAATCTGAAGTTCAAATAACCGAAGTTGAACAAACCAATGAAGAAGAAAGGGGGTACGTGTCGTTTTAAATACGTTTTTGAACAAAAATCGGTCACAGGTTTTTAACTCAAATTATATATAAGAAATCTTTTTCTTAATTTGTTTTAAAAGCGTATAATATCTTTTTTGGTAAATTTTGAAAAACAAAAGTTTTTGAAGCGAGCAAAAATCTTGGTAAATAGTGTATTTACCATTTCAAGCAATGTAAAAATAATTGCGATAAACTGAAAAAAATTTAATATCAATAATTTATAAAAATATTTAATTTATTTAAATTAATTAGTGTATAAATAATAAATTTTATAATTTAGGTCTACATATATATATATATACTTTTAATAATAAAAATTTTATTTTTCACAAAAAATGTCTTGAAACATAAAATAAAATCTATTTGAATCTATCTATATAATTAATATTAATTTTTTTTTTTGAATTAATAAACAAAAACTTAGTAATTGAACCGCTCTAAATAGTTTTTTATACTTTTTACAATGTAAAAAAATGTATTAACATAAAATATAATATAGTTATTAACTAAAGCACTTGGATAATTATTCTAATAATTTATAATAATTAATAATTTTAATTAATATAATTTTAATAATTGAAGTGCCTCCAAAATGTTTTTTGTGCACTTATACAATATAAAAAAATGAATTCTAATAAAACTATCGAAACAATTATACAAATAATTTGATTCAAGTAATTTTGAAGCAAAATTAATAGTCAAAAATAATTTAAAAAATAATTTTTACTCTAATATAATAATATAATATAATATAATATAATATAATATAATATAATATAATATAATATAATATAATATAATATAATATATAATTAATATATAATATAATATAATATAATATATATAATATAATAAATCATAATTATGAATATAATATCAATATTAATATAATAATAATGATAATAAATATAATTATAATATATATAATAAATATATTAATATAATATATATAATGATAATATAATATAATAATATTAATATAATATAATAAATATAATGTAACAAATTAGAACCCATAGATAAAGACTTATGCATTTCCATGTGTATATGCATAATTGAAATAACACTAAAAATATTTAATTTTAAATTACTGATATTATTATATAGAATATATATATATATATATATTATATATAAAGTATATAATATAAAAATATAAAATTTAAATATGTAATATATAATATATATGTCATTATATATATATATATATATATATAAAATTATATAAAAAATTATATAAATACCTAAAAAAAAGAGTAGGTGATTTTCAAATATTAACATCTTTGTATAAAATAATAATAATAAATAAAAATTTTTTTTTTGAAGCGTAGAAGAAGACTTTGGTTGCTTTCATATAAAATTCTATAAAAAATAAAATTATATATGAAAATATAATTAATATCATTATAATAATAAATTTAAATTATGAATATATATATATTAAAAAATACATAATTTAATTTTTATGCCCTTGGTAAATCAACTATTTTGAATAGATTATAAGGGATTAATAGTAAAGATACAATAAATAAATATGAAAAACATTTATTAAATATATATCTCCAATTGTGATTAAGTTAAATGTGTATTTCAATTAGTGCTTGGAAATTTTTGTTTTAATTAAAATAAAAAAATGTTATATATAATAAGAATACTATCATATATATGTATGCAATAAAATAATTATATGCAATAATATATATATTTTGAGACCAATGTGCTGATTCAAATAAAAAATTTTAGAACTATTTTTAATTACTGTAAATTATTAAATAAATAAAAACACTGTTAAAGATTAATAAAATATTAAAAAATAAATTGCAATTCCATAAAGCAACATTTTTCTTGTTGCTTTTATAACTAATGCACTAAAAATATAGTAATAATATCAGGAACTCAGATATTCATACTTGAGTATTAAAAAAGTTAATATTATAATTTACAAATTATCAACGATAACAGAAAAAAATATATATAAAAAAGGACTTATGAAAAGTATGCATTTTCTAAATTTATCATATATATTTTTTATTTTTGAACTACAAAACATTATAATTAATTTTGTTTAATGAATTAAAAACCTTTTATGATTTTTTATTATCGAATATATTTAAATTAACGTTTATTTTATATTATTTTTTGTAAACACATTGCACTTATTCAATATAAAATCAATTAAATAAAAATGTGTATAGGAAAGCACTTTACTGCACTAAAACATGAACAAATTTATTTATATTTATAACAAAATGGAACAATTACTTAATTCAAAATATATATATAAACATATATACATAAATTTATATAATCTGCAAAACAACAAAATATTCGCATCATAAAAAAATTTTCAAAATTACTCAAAAAAAATTATACAAGTGACAAAAACGACACGATACTCCCTTGATTAATTTAAAGGTACAAAAAATATTCAAATATTAAATATTATTATTAAACTATATACATAAATTTAAAATTGTGAAATAAGTGAAACACAACAATAACAAAAAAACAAAACAAATGTTATATTTCAAATAAATTTGAAACTAAACTGATTTCAAGAAAAGATTAAAAATACAAACAAATACTAAAAAAATTATTGGTTGTTCTTCTGTTTAACACAATTACAAAAAAATTAATTATATTAAAAAATAGCACAAAAAAATTTAATGAAAGGTTGAAATAATGTTTAATACACTAAAATATTTAATCCTTACTGAGTTTACTATAAACAAAAATTTATTGCACTTACATTGAATTTATAAATTTAACACACCAAAATACACACAATTTATAATCAATTACACAATTTAATGAAAATGTGATACTACCATAAAGAATACACAAAAATTTGTAATATATAAATTAGTGCTACTACACAAAAGTTACACAATATTTTTTTTAATTCTAATTAATAGTAAAATTTATTAAAATTATACATTAATTAGACAATATTTAATTAAAATGTGAAACCAAAAAAAAATTTACATAAAAAGATTGTTATATATAAACAGTGTTTTATAAAGAATACACTATATATTTACTAAAATTAATTAAATACAAAAAAAAGGAAAATATACACACACATAAAATACAACAACTACAACTACAATATATATTCTCTACACTCTTTTCCGAAAATACTAAGCTGTTCTATTGCCTAATCTCTAACTTTCTACTTACCTCTTACATAATACAACAACAACAACTTCTATATATATACACTATTGCCTATCCAATATCTTCAAGAATTTTTTAACTCTTCAACGTAGAAACTTCTAAAGGATAAAATTTTTACTCTCTTTTTTTTTCTTTCGAAATGTAGTTAATTTTCAGTGGTGAATACACAAAGGCAATGGATAAGGATTGGCATTCGGGCCATTTCTGTTGTTGGCAATGTGATGAAAGTTTGACCGGACAGCGTTACGTTATTCGAGATGATCATCCATATTGCATTAAATGCTACGAGAATGTATTTGCGAATACATGTGAGGAATGTAACAAGATCATTGGAATTGATTCCAAGGTGAGTGTTAAAATTTTATGTAATATATTTCTATAATAATTATTTTTGAAATAAAGAAATTATATTTATTTATACAGATATAAATATAATATATAAAAAGTTATATATGTATGTATAATACATAAAAAATTATATTTATATATATAACATATAAAAAATTATTTATATGTAAAATATAAAAATTATTTTATATTTTAATATATACAAAATTATATTTTATATATAAATATATATAAAAAATTATATTCACATATATATATATATATAAATATAATATACAACAAATTGTATTTATGTATACATTATTTCACAAAAAAAAATTTATATTAAAAATTACTTTTATCTAAGAAAAAAATTATGGAATAGAAAAAATGGATGGTTGGTTGGTTGCAGTGGCAGACCATTAGATAACTTTCATGCATCTTAATTAGCGATTTTTCGCCGTTTTACTATAATATTCCTAAACCCCTAATATAAAGAAGTAGAGACTAAATCTATCTCGTCAAATTAAGATAATTTAATAGGTCTATAGCCTTCACTGATAAACAGTCTAATAAACTATCAAAAAAGTATCTTCCTAAAAACTTTTTTTTTCTGAACGCCAAAGTCAGGCATTCACAGAGAAAATTATTTTTCCTGTGGGTTTTCTCTGCGTAGGTTTCTATACGTCAATGTCCAGAAAGAACTGCAGTAATCCTTGTAGTGTTTACACGGTCTCTTTTGATCAGTTTCGAGGATCTAATTTTATTTTAGGTGGACCATGTTAACCTGGAAGTTGCACATGTCTTAAGTGCTTTCCATTTGTTATTGGAAAAACGAAGAAAGTAGAAGTTGGTATTTCTCTTAATGGTCTTTAGGGTAATATAAACCGGTACCGCCAGCACCAGAGCGGGTTGGGGGATAATAATGAATGAATAGGATAATAGTGAATAAAATTTTAAAGCCAATTTTTATTTTTTTAATTTTTAATCAAGTGCATTCTTCAACTGCTTTATAGCTGCGTTTTTTGATCAAAAAACTTCCTCAAAATTATTTCTTTTTTCTTCAAAACAAGGTATACAATAGCTTATAATTTCTCACTAAAAGATAAATAGATAACTTTTAATAGATAATACTTAATATTAAAGTTGACAATATGTTATCTACTTATTTTAATATATAATATTTATTAATTTATAATATCTAAATTTATTTGATATATATACACTTTTTATATGAAATATTAAATATTTATTGTGAATAATTTAATTACATTAAAAAAACTTTCAGTTTTTAAGAAAAATATATAAGCATTTATAAAAGTATAAATTGATTTATTAAATAATTAATTAATGGGCAATAATGCAATCATGTATAAAAGACAATATCATTTAAATAGTCGTGACGACTATGTATATTTACAGACAATAACTCTTTATAATGATAAACATTAACAGTTGATGGTTTATCATATATATCTTTACCAGAATAAATTCAAACAATGAATTTTTTGGGTAATTTGACGTCTGTCAGTTATTACCATTTTCTTTTAAATAATAATAGATACCTAAAAACAATATACATAAATAAATATGAATATCTTTTAAAATTATGACGTCCTTATGTTCGTCACCTTCCCCTCCTCAATTCATTTCATAATATTGTTAAATTATTTCATTAGTTTCTTTGGATACATTTTATTTGCATTGAAGCATTAAATCCAGAACTGTTAATATTAAAACACCCAACAATCACTTATTTGTAAATTTAAATAGTCATATTTTTTGAGCAAATCAAGATATATATAAAATTCTATACCTATTTTAAATTATACCTATATACTTGTACTTTTTAGCTTCTTTCTATACAATTACCGATCGATTTAATATTATTATAATGTTTTATTTTATAATGACCTACCACTAGCAAATATCTATCTTTAAATATCTATCTTTTTAATCTAACTTTTAATTTAAAAAATATATTCGTGTTGTATTCACTTAAATTAGTAAATTTAAATTTCCATTCCTATAAATTGTTAAAAATAAATATGTTAGACTTGAAAATTATTTTCTCCTTCAGAGTTGCTTGTTCACAATATCTATAAGTATCAGTAAAAATTTTTTTACTACACACTTTCACACACATATTGTGAAATGTACTAAAATATCAAAGACCATACAATATTTTGCACACTGCAGAGCCGAATATTACACTCCCTTCACCCGCTCATCAGCAGCAAAAAGCTCAACATAAAGAATAGAGTTAGCATATTTAAGCAAATTATTAAACCAGGACTACTATATGGCAGTATAGCGTTTTGCCAAGCGCCAAGCTCAACTTTAAAAATTCTTCAAAGAGGGCAAAATATTGCCTTAAGAAAACTGGTCAACGCCCCATGGTATGTAAGAGGAGCTGATATCCACAGAGATCTGAGAGTGGATTCAGTTGAAAAATACATTAAAGATCGTGCTCTGAAACTGTTCAATACAATTGACAGTCACAATAATCCAACTCTCAGTATCCTAAAAATACAGCGTAATTTGATAAACACAGGCAGATACAAAGACATCAGATCCATCATATTATAAAGCCCCGTAAAGCCCCGTATTTAGTGTGACTTAAAACTGTCCACAGATAAAATAGAGTAAAGGTGCTGATTCACCAACTCAGACATCTGAATATCAATAATAAAACATAAAACACAAAACTCTGGTTAAGTAAAGTTGTTTGATTATTTAGAGTTGGAATACTTGAGATCCTTACTCTTTCCTATGTGTGCATAGCTGTTTATGTGTTACTTTAGAGTTTGATATTATATTGTAATGTGTCTTCCTTCGTAAAAAGTTACTATTTGATATTTTAATTTCATAGATGTGGAGTTTTGATTTTCATCTATATATCAAAAAGCTTCAACGCCTTGTCTATTTAATTTTTAACTATACTTATATTAATTCGTAGATCTCTGTAAATATCCTTATTTCTGTTCTTCAATGAGAGCTCAGACAGTCTTCGTAATGTTTAAGTTAAGGAAGTTTTAATTTCATTGGTGATAGATTTAACAGCCTTATTGTTTGGTAACGCCACACATCTGTACCAAACAGAGAGTTATAGTTTGATTGTATTCTCTTCTTCATGTTAAGCAATATTAGTGTAGAAAATGTGAAGGATATCGAGTGTCTTTCGTAGAATTTTTTTGGTTTCCAATATGTTTCGTCTAAACCATTTGATTATGTTAGTCCCATATACTTCAGGTTCTCATCCCATTCTATTTTAAATTTCTATCAAATTTTTTTGTGATGAAAATCACCTTCGTTTCTTTGTCGATTAAGTTTTATTTTCAATTTCCGAGGGTGGTCATTTAACTCAGTTCCTCCTGCATATATGAGCATTGTTGATTCCATTTTTGTATTGCAGCTCTATAGATACTATATAAACTTAAAGATAAAGGAACAACTTTTTATACAATATTAGAAGGGAAGTAATAGTTGCGAATAGAACTTTTTTTCGATTAAGAAATTATAAATGCACTAAATTATTTGGTTAAAATTTAGACAAATTCACTTCAGTTGTATAATAATATGATAAAAAAATTTTAAGGTTATTAATTAATAACACAAACTATCTGCGAAATTATTTTTTTAACAAATAATAATTAAATAAATGAAAACACATTCCTAAAATATTAAAGGCATTTTAAAATTATTATGCATTATTAATATATTTAATAAGGTGCAGTTTTTTTTGGCATTCTATCAAAATCAAAAATCATCATACAAAATATGTTCTTTTCATATATATATTAAATAATTTTTTTGAAATAAATATGTGAATAAAAATAATCTGCTACTAGGATTTTAGATGGTATCAAGTTTAATGTCTTGACCCTAATTGTTGCTTTCCATATGCCTTTATTCACACATTTTTATGCATATTACATATTTATATACATTCTCGTATATATTTTTAAAAATCGTAAACAAAATATGTTATTTAATGTATGCAATATCTTAAATTTTTCTTCTTTTTTTTATCGGTTAAAATTAAAATGTTCAGTTGTCGACTCTCATATTTTAAAAATTATTTTCTGCTAAAAGTTTTAAATTTTAATGCATTTAAAAATAGCATTTTTATATGCATTTTGCACACTGCAGAGCTTTCCGAATTCACAGCTCCAAGAGCTTTGTCTGTTTAATTTCATTCCTCTTCTGTATACATATTTGTACATACAATGCCTCGATGCATTGGTAGTGCCATACAGTGCACCAAGACTTCTCTGTAATTCGAGTAAGATTTTAATATTTATTGCACTGCATTTTTTCTATAATATCTATATCTTTATGCAGTGTCTATATATATATCTGTAGAACTAAACATCGAAAATAAATTCTTTAAATATTTTTATAATCAATTTTTATCTATAAATCATTATATCCATATTTATAATTGTTAATCTTCAAATGCTATTTCCCTTAATTAAGAATCCATTTTTTCGAATTATACTATATAAATGTCATCAAAGACTGATTTTTCAGACTAGACGAAAACATAGGACTTGAAAATTATATTCCAGTTGCTCAATTTTATATTATAAAATAAAAAATAATTTTCAAATTTGCAAATACTGAAAAAGAATTATATTTTTTTTTCTTCGCAACTTAACAATAATTACATATTAAATCTTTAAGAAATCAATTCAAATACATTCGATATTTAAATTAAATACGTTTGTTTTTAATTTTGTACTCTATAAAAATAACTATGAAACGGAGAGAAAGAACGAAATTAGAATGAAATTATAAAGAAATTATGTGAACTAATGATGAACCTTTATATACATTTACAGAGTTCTGGTGATTTAAAATAACTTTCAGAAGCAATTGCTTAAAATAAAACAGTGAAAAGTTCTACATTTTAATCCAAAAAAATATTTAAAATACTACTATACATATTCCCCATATGATATATCCGCTATTAAAAATCAACAATTAGTTTTTCTGATCCCTGAATATTAATAATATGCATAAATGTTAAATTTACAAAATAAGAAGATAATGGTATTAAAAAGTCAACAGTTATCTGTGCTATTTATTGCTTAGTCAAAAAATATATAGCAATTATTCAAGAGGACTTCTAGACTAACTCTAATTATAATTATTCTATTTTAGAAAAACAACTCACTGTTCTCTCATATTTTCATTGAAAGCTGAAATAATTCAGTACGTCACAATTTTTCCATATTGGAATGCCAACAGTTTTATTAAACACTATTTAAATAAAAATCCAATCGAACTATACTCGTTCATTTCAGACTGTGATATTACTTTCAAAAAAGAAAAAACAAACAATGGAGCTAAAATAATCAGAGCACTTAACCCACAGCGACTACTATCTGTTGCCAGACCTTCAAAAATTACTCCAAGGAAAAACATAAAGAATAGAGTTAGCATATTTAACCAGATTATTAAACCTGGACTACTTTATGACAGTATTGCGTTTTGCCAAGCGCCAAACTCAACTTTAAAAATTCTTCAAAGAGGGCAAAATATTGCCTTAAGGAAACTTGTTAACGCCCCATGGTACGTAAGTGGAGCGGATATCCACAGAGATCTGAAAGTCGATTCAGTCGAAAAATACATTAAAGATCGTGCTCTGAAACTGTTCAATATAATTGACAGTCACAATAATCCAACTCTCAACATCCTAAAAATACAGCGTAATTTGATAAACACAGGCAGAAACAAAGACATCAGATCCATCATATTATAAAGCCCCGTATTCATTATTCTTAGTGTGACTTAAAACTGTCCACAGATAAAATAGAGTAAAGGTGCTGATTCACCAACTCAGACATCTGAATATCAATATATATATTTGTTAAATGAAAAAGTCATCGCCGAAACAAACACCTATTTTAAGGCGAAAGATAAATATTTTTACAAGGAAGGTATTGAAATATTAGAGAAGCGCTAAAATTACTCTATGAGGCTTGAAATAGAAGTCAAGTTTTGTCAAAAAAAAATTTGTTCTTATAACTTAGGTTTAATACTTTTTATCAAATATTTTATGTTAGTTTAAAGTTATCATAATATTGCGTTAATTAGCCTTTCTCATATTAAATAAGCCTTCATAATTCTAGTAAATAATTATGATATTATATTTACCCGACTAGTTGTAAATAGGTATAACAGTGTATCTTTCGTTTAGATCCCAGTGTAGAGTCTATTCCTTCGGCAAGTGTACAACACAAGAATTGTAAAAATTTAAAGTACAGCTATGAAATGTACTAGATAATTAAATACTAATCAATATATATAAATCTATGAAATATTGTACTAGAAATGTACTAGATAATTAAATCAATAATTCAATCAATATAAATCTATTATATATAAATCTATTATATATTATACTGTTATATTCCGTTACGAAACAAAAAGGCCTAAATATATCAGGTCATTCATAATCTCCCCTAAGATTAGAAAAGTAATTAACTTGCTTGCGACCAAAATCCAGTTAAAAGTTAGATATTGGTGATACATACGCAATTACCTATATTAATCCTTTTTTTTATGATTTCTACAAGAAAGAATCTGCTATAAATATCATATATCATATAGATCCTAAATATTATTAAAGTTACTACAGATTCTAAATATTACCAGAAGTGAGGAATGTAAAGAATACACAAAAACCGATTGTTAAAGAAACTCAGAATATCTGAGTAAATCAGAATAAATTTTGATTTAACATTTTTTAGAAACTCCATTTTTGAAAGTTTAAACATCATCCGTGATGCACTTAAAATTCGCTAATAACCCATATATCTCAAGTACTGTACCATTAGCAACTACCTCTAAAGACTATAATCTGAGTTCCTATGAATCTGTCAAGTTTTTTGTATTGTGAAGTCCAGATTGTATGCAATATTAAAGAGACTAAGCTTATGATTATTAAAAGCTCATTTAAAAATCAATTCTCCATCATATTTTTCCCTAACAATAGAAGGCAGCTATTCTCTATACTTTTTTACTGTTCTTTGTTATTAATAATAAATATATCAACCAATCTAATTTCGGGCTCTACAAATAAATTTTTATGTTACACTAATTTTTTTTACTTAATATGATCAGGTATAATATGATAGTGACATTATTTAATCATCTCTCGAACAACTAGTAAACTGTTCTGATCAATCTTTATTATAATAAGTAACAATACTCAATAGTATATTATTATAAATACATATAATTATTTAATAGAGAGGTTTCGAAAAGTAGCTAAATACAACAACAAACATTTTTTTATTATTTTAATTAATTGAATTTTTGTCTGACTGCTATGCAGTCATACATTATATTGTATATGTAATTACAATATGATGTATATTTTCACAAAAATAAACAAATATTTTTATAATATATTATTGTTATTATAATATCTATAAATTATAAAACTAATGTATTTTATTATATATTATTTAAAATTATAATTTACATTTATATATAAATGTAGTAATAATCTAAAAAAATTTCAATTTTACAGGATCTTTCCTATAAAGATAAGCATTGGCATGAGGCATGTTTCCTTTGTTTTAAGTGCCATCTATCCCTGGTGGATAAGCAATTCGGCGCAAAAGCCGATAAAATTTATTGCGGCACCTGTTATGATGCCCAATTTGCCTCACGTTGCGACGGCTGTGGTGAAGTCTTTCGTGCTGGTGAGTAAAAAAAAACAATATTTATCTCAAAGATACAAAAACATGATTATTTTTTTCAATACTAAAATTATCATAGCATACTTTTAAGCGAAGCTATTAATCTTATAAAATAATTTTAAATAACTAAAAATATACTCGTGTATATTAAATAATTTTTTAATTTATTGTTACAATGAATATGTATTGATTATGATAATATATATTAAATATTTTTTATGATTTATTTTTAAATAAAACAAAAAAGTGTACAGTTCAAACATTAAGTACATAAGTTAAATGGGCTATAGATGGGCTATAGGTTTTTGATTTTATACACAATTTATTTAAAATAAATAAATTAAATGTTACGGTTGTTTCCACTTATAGCAATACATAATGATTATCATCATTACTTAACTAAACGTCGGAAATCCTACGTGATTGTAATTAATTTATTCGACATTTGCACTCCATTAGTAAACCGATACCTAACGAATGAGAAACATTGGGATTCTCTAAATCACATCATTATCAAGTATTTCCTTCAATCTACAAATCTTGATTATGACTAATCTTACCTAATCTTTGTATATTAAACACAAATTGGTCTCACTTTTTAAACACGGCGTAAAATATCTTATAGAACATAACATGTGGACTTGTAGACACTGTGGACTCTTGAATAGTTATCGGTGTATCCAAAATTTATGGTTTCTAGATTCTGTATAGTTTATGTATAGTTTATATATGTGAATTAATTTATCTGCAGAAATCTTCTTTATATTTATCTAGTCTCTAATACTAATATTCAATTATGAATGAGATTTTGTATTTTATTTGCTTATATATTAAATAAACTGTTCTTACGTTTTTGATAAAATTTTTGTAGATTATTAGAAGAAAGGAAAAATTATAGGTTGCTTCGAAGTTAAATAAGTAGTGGGACAGAAAAATATGCAAAAACTATTTATAATAAAAACATTTTAAAAATTTTTTCTTAAACAAATAGTTATAATCACTCAAAAAATAAAAACTGCACGACTAATAAATGTGAATTTTGACTTCATATTTTTTTAAACATGAAAAAAAATTTATTATTGACATTTTTCTACTAATAAAAATAGTACTGAAAAGCAAAGATTGGTAGGCGTATAAAAAAAAGTAAACTGATGACGTATATATATAAGGAGAAAAGAAATTTATATTCCACGTTATAAATATTTCAAGATTGCAAGAATTAATCTAACATCAATCAGAGTTATTGAGATGCTGTAACAGTGTTATTAACAAATTGTTTTTGAAATACTAATATAGATTGAAAATATTTATACACTAAATAAGTGTGAATTAGAGGTGATATTTAAGTATCTATGTTATGTTTTATATTTTTTTCGAAGTAGAATCGAAGAATTGCTATTCGAATAAATTGCTTTGACATCCATTTCTATAGAGTATACATTTTCTAAAAAAAATGAAAATATGGTTTGCATTAACCATATTTTTTAATCATTTTTATATCAAAAGTATAAAAAAATTATAATACTTATCAAAATTTTTATATAAAACATAATTTTTATAAACTAATATGCATCAGCTTAATAACAATTTTTATGTAAAAATTATTCCATAATGTAAAGATTATAACTTACACCAATTAACTTTAACTCTCTACTGAAAATATTCGGTTCACCAAAAAAAAAAAAAAACCGTATAACCAAGTCTATGCCAATTTGATACGCCTTTATGACAATAATTATTCTCTTAACTTTATTTTTTATTCTTCTTTATTCTTCTATTAAAAGGGTTCGAAGGGAAATAAAAAGGCAACAACAAAAATTTTAGTTAATTTATTGAAATTCAGTCAGTCAAACACAACGTTGTTTCGAGTATTGCCAAGTACTCGTCATCAGTGGTCTTAGGATATATTCGAATTTTTTAATTAGTTTATAGTTCGTTGATAATTTGTATAGATTGCAAGTGTCAGGCTTTGAATTCCTTATAATTGATTCAAAGTTTCCAATATTATGGAACAGTTCTCCGATTGGAAATTGCCAAATATAGCATTTATCTACTATTACTTTTTTGCTGTTAATGAATTACTATTTTTTGAAATTTTATATATAGATACATGTTATTTTTACTCAGTTATCTAATGTCAAGTTTAATATTAGTCTCAATAAAAACGATTTCTGTCTTCTAAATTGTTGATAATTTATTTTGAAATAATTTTATATTTTACATAATTAAATTTTTGTTTTACCTTTAATCATTATTTCTCATATAGATCATATTTTCCATTTGGCTATGAAACCCTAGATTTCTCTTCACTCATTTATGCTTCAAAGTTTCGTTATAGATTACTTTCAATAGCGCGTGCGCAACATTTAATTTACTTTATTGCTAGTTTTAATAAACTTGCAAAGGAGTCGTTAGTCTCAACATAGCCTTTTAAAATTAATAAAAAAAAAACCAAAGAAAGTTTTTTTTTTCTTTGTTGGTTGTAAAATGTAAGTGAAGCATACAATTAGTTTTCATATCAGTTGATGCTACTATGACTTGCACTAGGTCTATCTTAATTTATTGTTTTTCAGATGTGAAAGATTTCTTGTCTGCTGAAATACTGCTTGTAAACGCTTTTAAACTGAGGACAATTATTATTAAGTAAGCACTTGCTTTGAGTGGTCTTTTTATTATCGATTTATGGGAATCTTTCTGTTTGCTATTAAAATCTGAGTGTCAAGAGAGTATGAAGATACCAGTTTCTTGAACAATTTAAAAATTAACTAAATTTAAAAATCAACGAAATTTAAAAATCAACTAAATTATTCGACAAACGAATAATATGCTTTCTAAATTCGAAAAGTTTTATACCACCTTCCTTTCCGACGAATAATTGCAACATAGAGGGATTTTTAATTTTATTATTTTTTTTAATATAAAAATTAATTTACTATAATTATATAAAATACGAGATTTTTATATATAAGATTATTTACAAAATATTGTTGTCACCCGTCCGAATCGTGGACTACCATTAGCATGACTTTCTCAATATTACGTTCCTAGATTAGGTTTTATACATAAGAAAGTTTATATAAATCACGCAACAAATAATGACTCTACAAACAGAATGGTATTGAAGTTTAACAATTGAAAATAGAAATATAATTAATTAATTCAATTATTCTACAGCTAGTTTATGATTTCGTTCTAATATAAACACAGCAAGTGAATTTATTAATCAACTTTCACAGCAAATTAACAAAACTCCAGAAAAATGAGCACACATAAAAGTCAAGTACCGCTTTGGGTCAGTTGGTTAAGCAGCGCTGACTCTGAGCTTCAAATTTGGCAGGGCACGAGTTAGATTCCTGCTACTTGCAGTCTCAAAAAATTATTTACGAATAATTAAATACAGGAATTATTTCCAAAACCACTGATAATGGGTATTTGGCAATATTCGAAACAGCTGTATGGTCAGCCAAAATTCCGCAACTAGCCCACTGGTTGTGCTTTGGACAGCCCTGGGCTACACCATCGCTGATCTGATAGTGTTTTTGTATATTTTACTTTTTAAAGCCCATGATTTTATTTTATCCGTAACGTATCCCAGTAACATTTTCTTTAATAAATTAAATATATAAAATGCATTTTTTTTTGATTTTAAGTTGAATTATTAAAGTGCAGCGCTATTTGTTATGCGCTAATTTGCAAAAAAAAAAGAAATACCAAACTTTCACTTTTCAATGTTACATCACATTAATAAAATCTGAAGTATATAATAATAAAGGTTTTTTGTTTCCTATTAACAAAAGAGAGAAATATTATACTTCCATTAAAGATTAACTATGCCACCAAAGAATAAAGCTTCTCAAGCTGTGCAAAGTTTACGATGAGTCGGTTAATGATATAAGTATCTTCTCAAGATTGTAGAATGACTTTTAATAAACATAAAAAAAAAAATTTTAATTATTTCTTATTGTAATGAAATATGTGTCGTGTTTATTTATTTGGAGAAAAAGTTCATTGTACAAGATACAAAAAAATATATTGTTTAACAAATAAAAGTGTAGCATGAGTCAAAAACACCAACGCGTTTGGATCAGCAGCAAAACCGTTGAACTCAAGATACAAAATTTTAGTTACCAACGAAAAATAAACCGAAGGTGTCGGTAAATTCATTTCAAAACTCAAATCTTACAAAACCAAAAAAAAAAACGAAAATATTGAAATCGAAAACACACTAAATGTCAAAATAAATAAATAAAAAATATTATTAATAATAATTTAAATTAAGCCATATAAGGGTGAAGTAAATGTATATAGTATAAAATATCTTATATGGCATATGTAGATATATGTATACGAAAACGATTGTAGAAAAATAATTTGTATAAAAGTTTTAAGAATTAATTTTAATTAATTAATTATGAAACTGCGCATTTGAGCAATTTATGTTTTTATAAAAAATAAATTTGAAAAATTAACATTACAAAAATTTTAATTGAAAATTTGTTTTTCTCACCTAATCTGGTTGTAGAACAATTTCCTTTTCCTTTCCAAATGTGAGCTGACTGACATGTGGGCATTTGTCAATTTTAATTTCCGTTCTTATAAAAAATTAATTTTTTTTGTTTTTAATATATTTATAAACTGTTATTATATTTTAATTGTGTAAATAAAATCAAATCAGTTATGCATAGAACTTGTTAGTACATTTTGAATTGAGAATTGATCTAAGTCAGTGCATTTTTAATGTGTACTTTTTTTATTTTTAACTTGATTGTTCGACTTTATATTGTTTTTATTAACGCCTTGTCGTCAAAATAATTACTTTACATAAAACATTAAAATAAATATTTGTTATTTGAATTTATTTATTTTTTTTTTTTAACATACTAACAAATAAAATTCCAATCAATGCCAAAGTCAATAATTTTTAATTTATTTGAATATTTGCGCGCATCCCACACTTCATATAAAGCAAAAATTGTTTTCCAGTTTTTGTTTACTAAAGGCGGCTTGAACC